ATTTGCCTTGCCGCAATAGATATCCAATCTACACAGTACAACACAGCTCGGTTAGCGAGATATTATGGCTCATACAGAATACATTACGGACCAGACAGATTATAATTGCTACGGATATCCATCTTGTTAGACAGATATCCGTATCAATCGTACTTCGTACCTGGAGCAGTAGGCGGTGTCTGCACAGCACGTCAGGTAAAATTTGGTGCCCCATTTGTTTGGCTTTGCCGGCATGTACTGGCGCATTGGGTTGCGGCGATGACGCATCGGCACCATCCCTTCGTCGAACGAAATCCGAGCACCCATTCGGTATCCTCTGAAGAACGTCTTCGGCAACGCTTGAACCACGGGCCGAATTTTGAAGGTCCGATCCCCACTGTCGGACTGTCGTTCGTTGTCGTTGAAGTGAAGATACCGCGCAATGTCTTGGAACCGGTCCCGACTCAAGAACTGGCCAAACGTGCCGCGCGCGAGTGCACCCTCGACCTTCAGGGCCGACTTAGACTCTCTCTCGGCGTGGCTCTAGTGCTCGTGCGATAAGCAAACCGATGAACCGAATGATTTCATGGGGCCGGATGGATGGCTTGCGCGCTAGTTTTGCCCTGTACTCATCAATGGTCAGCACTATTGTTGAGGGGACGCGTTCGCGCCGCTGACGTGCCCGTGCACGCATTTGCTGCGAAGTACTGTCGATGCTGTCCGTACGGTACTTGTTCGTCTCGGCTGCAATCTTTCGCCACAGCTCCTTCGGCAGGAAAAAGTAAAATATCGCGATAGGATTCTCCGCGTATGCCAGCGCAGCTCGGGTTGGACCAGATGGGCCGTCGTAGAGGGGTAATGTATCGTGTTGCACTTGGCCCGCGTGGCGTTCATCGAACACCTCCCACCCCTTGCCTTGAAGTATGTCAAGCTCTGGACCAGTTACGTCAAACTACACTGGCACTTCGTCACGCTCAGTTGCCACGTCGTCATCAACTTGGTCATCAACAGCAACAGCAACTGCCTCGTCCTCTTCATCGTTTTCGTCCGCCAGAATGGACTCTTCGTCACCTTTCGCTTCGGAATCTAGAGGGAGCAACCAGTCGCCACCTCCAATGTTTATATCATCAGCTTCAGTTGGTCCAAATAGCCGGTCCCGTCGCAGTGCATCCAAGAAGTTATCCGAATCGAAGTCATCTAGAGAAATTCCAGATTGCTCCGCGCTTGGAACTGCTGTCGGAGTGGGTACCGCCGTAATAGACGATTCAGGAGTTTCCTCAACCTCGACAGGGGTATCCGGAACAGGTTGCGGGGTATTATCCGTGGTACGTGAGGTCGTTTCCTGAACACCAGGAGCTGCACAATCCGTAACAAGAAATTTAGTATATATTTCGCAACAGTCAGCATCTGAAACTCAAACGTACCAGTACGGGGTCGTTTCGTAGACGTTCTTGTACTCGATGCCTTGCGCTTGCCTTTCGGTCGAGGTTGCGGATCCGTTTCAATGTCGTGTGCCGAACTAGTTGCCTTTCTTGCGGGTCGTGGTCTGCTAGAACCTCTGGCCTTGCCAAGTGCAGGTGGTACGCTTGAGATAGTCCACGCTTTCGCTGGGGCAGTGGCTTTGGCAGCAGCCCTCGGCCAATCAATCGCAGTGTTCTTCGCAGCAGCTTCCTTTGGTGCGGCAACGGGTGCAGCTAATCCAGGCTCGGACGGCGCAGGCACCGCTTCGGAATCTCTTCCTGACCGCGCGGGATTCTCTTCAGACAGTGCTGACGTAGTCTCGGACGGCCCAAAAGCATTTTTGGGTTGCTCGGGCTCGGCGATGGTCGGCGTCGAAGCTGGTGGAGCTGTCTCGAAGGCAAGCCATCCTTTACGGCGGTAGTAGCGAAGCAGACTCATCTCGCCTGACAAGCGTACACGGTTAGTTGCCGATACAGCACATTCGCATCGGTAGTCTTACCTTTAAAGTAGTCCACGCCTTCCGATCCCGCGAGATTGCCACCGGGGGGGAGGTAGCGGGGGGCGTTGCTGAGGCCAGAGGATTTTCGATACAGCCAGCCTTTCTTCTTTAATTCGCGCCATATCTGGTTGAACGTTTTCTCGAAGGTGAACATCTTCAGGAGTGATGGTCTCTTCTCCGGCGCTGATTTCCAAATGGAGGGCTGGGAGAGTCTCTTGACTCCTTATATCTGTAAACCTAACCGCTTCCTGACAATCCCGTGTCGCATGTGGTGTGCAGCTTATTCTTAACCCGTTTAAATTTATCGCATACAAAATTCAATATGCCGAATTGTCGTTGCTCGAATGTTGTTGCGGACATCTCGGAGCAATTTCACCTCTATAAATTAGATTCCGGATTATCCGTAATGTCGTAGTAGAAGGGTTAAAATCCAGAGAATAATTGGGCATAATTGGAATGTTATTGTTAGACGATTTAAAAGAGCTTACTATAAATAGTTTGATATAGTTTGTAATGGCTGCAATTACACTTAAACCAGTCATGGAGAGTAATTTCGAATGAAACGCCCCTGTCTCAATAGCCAGACACTTTTCGATTTGTGTCACTGCAAAAATACTAATGCAATATCGACGGCGCCTTTCAGATCGCTTAACTATGCATTTCTATTGCTTTACGCCCCGCAGGTATTACCTCAATGACGCCGTGGGTGCGTCAAGCTGGGAAGGAGATCTCCGTCGACGCTGTACGGCAGAGTATCAAGCCCTGCAAAGCATGATGTATACGGCTCGCAGTTCAAGCGACATGGGAGCTACAAACGGACGATGAAAGCGCCTTCGAACCAGAGTTAAAAGTCGAAACGGAGCTGAATATGGGAACTCTAGACGATATTGTTATCGAAGATTGGTCTAGCAAGAGGATGTTAGTCTAAGCGGTTTACTGGTAATGGATAAATTTTAAAGATATTAGTTACTCGGAAGTACTATTTAGCAGTGTGGATAACCAACGCACTCGAGGGGAATTCAGCCGTGCTTCCGAACGTGCCCTCGCTTTATTCACCTATTTTTCTAATGTAACCTTCATTGTCAGTTAAAATAAAAAATAACGGCCTACGCGTACTAAATAAAAAAACCGCGCTGTATTACAATATTACGCTGAGTTCTATTCAGTATTATACGCTTTGTCTTCCGGCAAACATACATTTGAAGAGAAGGTTAGCACTTTGAACTGGGTTAAGTACGTTCGCTTCAGACGCGACGATTTACCTAACCAGACTAAGCAAATATCATATGTAAGGGGGATTGCAAAATGGTCATACTTCCTTGCCTCAAAAGTAGACCGCGTAGATTTGCGCGGGCGCCAGTACTCAAAATATACTTATAAAGTGCATTAACCATGGTAAAACGCAATAAATGTACATTTTGATTCAAGCCACAATGAGAATATGATCGTGTCAAGCTGCATTTAAAGCGAAATGGGCGAAAAGTAAGCGCGTTGTGAAAAAGGCGGGATATGTCAAATATATTATGGTACTTGTTGAAGTATAATAAAGATGACATCCCCGCCTATTTATTACTACAGTACCTCCGCTCGGAAAAAGATAACCATTTCAAATTATATTACAGCCTACCTAATAAAAATACCCCCTCTATGCCGATCACTTTTTGGATTTCGAATCTCCCGCGCTTTCCCTGGCTCCCGCTCCCAGCTTTCATTTTGAAAGCTGGCACCTGGGGGAGATCACAGACAGTGAGCGCCAGGCCGTCTATGAGACCTTACTGGTTCGCAGCGTGGGAGGAGTGCTCAAACATGGACATATCTTTTGGGTTGCAGCGTACTTCCGTGTGGGCCGCCAAGCTGTCGAGCGAATTTGGAGGCGTGGAATCAATTCGATGGGAGATCGAGTAGCAGCCGTGGTCAAGTCAAGGACGAGCGCATGTGGTAGGAAGAAGGTGGTTCGAGCTGAGCTGTGCGAGAGAATCGCTGCAGTTCCTGTCAATGAGCGGAAATCCAGCGCCTGCTTCAACGCGCGTCCAACATGAGCTGCTACCTGGTTCAGCAGCTGATCAAGGAAGGCTACATACGGCGTGCGCTCAGACAGACCCGCCCACTACTTACACCCACGCACAAGTTGGCGCGCCTCCGGCACAAGGACAAGCAATTACGAGCTGGCACTCTCCCTACGTCACTGCCTTGTGACGCTATCTCACTCGCCAATGCTAACGCGTACATGCTGCTTCTTGCAGCGAGCAGCCCCCCCCCACCGCCTACCGCTGAAGTTCTAGAAGCCCCACTGAGCCCCTTCAGAATGTGGCGGTGTAGTTGCCGTCTTAGATCCCTTTTTGTATCTGTAGTTCATGGCGGAGCATGAACGCCTGTGCCTTGCTTAGTTTCTCACTGTCAGCTCTCGCCATAAAGCTTAGCAGCCTCTCACAAATTAATAAACGCTCAAATGAACGAGGCGGAGGGCTGCGCAAAAAAAAACAAATGGTTATCTATTTCCGAGCGGAGGTATTATTATATTCAAATGTGTATATCTGCGCTGTTTAGAAGCTGTAATAAGGTCATGGTGGTAGAGATCAACGCATCCCCAGTTTCTCAAGTTTGGTTTTAGTTAGTAGAGCTACATCGAGGTATACGAAACGAAAATTGAAAATTAGATTAGGGGAAAGGTCTGCCTTAAATCTGGCTGCGGATGTTCCTCATTTCTACGGTCCCTATGTGCCCGCCGCCGTCCACTACATTACACACCACCTCATTCCAGGTTCTTTCCGACGTGGGCTGCCTTCCAATACGCAGAGAATAAGGGCTCAAAGTAATGGGCTTGTTCCGGCGTCAAAACCACCTTCTTTTCCGCGATGAGGCTTTTAACTTTGTTGGGATCCAATCCCTGCTCATCCATCATTTGGAACGCCGTCATCATCCGTGCTATCATTTCTTTGTGAACATCATCAGCGTAGTTGCCAACGAGCGCTGCCTTAATTGATTCATCGATGTGGTCTGCTTGCCCCAATCGTTGGAACTTGGGTATATCGTTCATTGCGTCATCCACCTTCCCGACGGTTCAGATACCTTTTAGCTTCTCAGCAAATGCTTTAACAGCTGCCGAAACATCTCTCTCTTTGTTAATTGACTCTGTAGCATGCTCGGTGCCGTCATGGACAGGCTCACGCTTTCTCAGTAGCCGCTGGACGTTGTTGGCGACATGGCCATCAACAGCAGGATCTTGGACGACCCCAGATCGAGCTGCTGCGAGCGTATCAATGTCGACAGCACCAGTTTCATTGACAAGTATAGTAACAGTGACTTGGATAGCCAGCAGAATGATGAGCCCGCGCATCGAAGGTTGGAAGTAGAACGTACTCGATGGAAAAAAATGAAGAATGGATCAGAATGAGTTGGTGCTCTTGGCACGTTTGTTGATTACGAGGTTTTTACAATAAACACAATTCTCAAAGGGCACACGTGCAGAAACGCTGATCTACCGGCTCTTCAGATTCTGGGATGCTGATAAATTATTCATTCACTTGATGTTTGTATATAAACCAGATACAGGTACAGTCACAAATCTTGGTGTTAAAAAGTAGTATCCTTAGTAAAAATAAGCTGAAACCAGTCTACATACCGAATTCCCTTAGTTATCACGTACTATGGGCCGAACGGGAAAGACCTCGTGCACCCTCAGTTATCGCATTCAGTCGTACGAACTGTCTTTCTGTCTGTGCATTTTGCTATCGGATGGCTCCTATGCAACGCCGCTACCCAAAAGGGCGACCACGACTTCCAGGAGGCCGAGGCCGTAAAGTGAGGAAGAACCTCGTGTTCTTCACAGCGACGTACAAAGTAGAGGTCTTAGCCCACTTGGCAAGGGGTGGGGACATCAGCGAACATTCAGTAATTTCTATCCTGAATGAAATCCTTACCGATTTAGACATGGAGATAGGAGAATTTAGTTTGAACGATGATTTTGACGGATGTTGCAGATATTAATCTACAATAATAGATTTTTTATGAACACTTTGGATAGACAGTCCATGCAATTTCTGGTATATGTGCGAACACTTTTCTGAATGTCATAAACAAGCATTTGACGCGCACATGGGTACACGAGCAGAAGAACGTGAGCTCGTTTTTATGCTCACTCCATTAGATACGAGAGCTTCGAACACAACACACGCGATCGAACGTTGTGCTCGCTCTACGTGTCTGGCGCACGTGTTGGGCGCACGAAGGCGGCACGGTATGGTCAGATATCCGCTACTCTACTTACGCGTTTGTAAGTACCAGCACCTTCCCGGGTCCAAAGCACCTAAAGCTGCTGACAGCTACGCCTTAGTGAACAGGCAGCGCAAAAGTGCCTGTGGAATCTGCGCTGTGGACAAGTACAGAGAGAGCGTGAGCACGGGCACGGTGAGTACTGAGACCGAGTACGTGACCAAGGACACGACGTGGGCTGAGCACGAGCAGATTTGTTTGAAATGGCGAGAGTCAATCCTCTTGTTGCGGTTAGAGAAGCTGTTTCAAACTTTGTGGCACCTGCTGGCATTCAATTACGACCACCGACAGCTTCTGAAACTTCGTTCATCTACGAGCGGGGGGGGGCTCGCGTGGAGTTCGTAGAGAATGATAAGGCGCACTTAAGCTGGGTATGCCTAGTTGCCGGACATCAGGCACGAATCTCTTCTTACTTTCAGCGGGTCGGACTTCGAGGGCAGCAAAACATCTACGAATGGATCACGCAGTTGTATCTGAAAAGACCTCCGCAGAAATGGATCGGAAGCGCAAGCGGGATGCCGTGATTGAGCACTGCGATCGTCATCATTATACAAGAACGACCCTGCTCGTGTGAATTTGTTTGTTGAAACTCTTAGAATCGTCAACAATAACTTACCACTTTGCTGTGGCGAATATGATGAGTCAATTCTAAAAGAAGGACTCGTCGTGAAGGAAGAGATGCGTACATCCATCAATGCAACGAGTGTAGTTCATTCTATTGTTGAGTTGTACAGCTCAACCCGTGCTGAAGTGGTGGATATGTTTGCTCATAATATTGCATCTTACTCGAATTTGGTAATGCTGATCGACTTTTGGACGTGCAAGACAACACACCAAAACTTCTTAGGTTTAAGAGTGTACTTCGTAAACGAGGCTCGGAAGCCGCCGTCTATTCTGCTTGGAACTCGAAAAATTAACCCGTCGTATGGTGACGGCATCCAGGGCCCATTTCGCGCGTGGGTTAACCATATTCTGGAGGACTTAAATTTGAAAACTTTCGCATCTACTAGTGACAAAGGATCTGACGTGAGAAGCATGCTGGTGAACACACTGCAACAGCGTTGGGAATGGTGCATTGCACACATGGCACACGCGGGGACGAAAGATGCTTGTAGGATGAATGATGATACAGGTAACCCTGAGTTGACTCGGTTGATTTCTCGGGTCAAGAAAACTATTTACCAAGTTCGAGCTGTCGAAGAAAGTGGCGATCTGTTTAAAGCTCTTTGTAGAAGTCTCACAAGCACTAGCACGACACAGCTACTTGACTATACCCCGGCTCGCTTTCTTAGTCCATCTAGTTCCCTTCGGCGAGTGCTCAACAAATAGGAAGCTATTGTAGCCTGGTATCAGGAGCGGCGATGCCAAGTCGAGCACGCAGGTGTTCCTCCATCTACATTCCTTCTTGAAAACGACCAGCTGAATTTGATACAAATTCTATCACTTATGACACCAATCGCTGAAATCAAACGTGACTACCAAGCGGAAAAGGCAAACCAAGTGGATGTTCTTCTCAAGTTATATCTCGCTCGGTTGAACACGTAAAATGTTGACAAAGCTCTGCAGCACTACATGTCGCCACAAGCGCAACCTAAGTGGATTGCCGTTGGTGAATTAACTCAATCTGGTGGATGGCCAGGAGCACTTGACAAGAGGACAACAAGGAGGACAACGCTAGAGTAGAAGTTTAGAGGACATGTTTAATTGACTTTGATCTACTCACTTCGGCATTTGCCTTAAACAACAACAACAGCGACACTGGGTGGTTTGCTATTCACCGTGTATTTAACCGGTTTGCGAACGGTCCATTCAGGAACGGTCCATCTTGGAACATCACGTCGTTTAGCCGAACCGTGCAAAGTCGGTGAATATCAACCCTCCCACTCACTACTACTGGACGTCGTTCCTCTTCTTGATTCCACTTGCTTCGCGAAGGAACGCTAGCGACTTTGTTCCCAGTGCTTTCGTAAGCATGTCAGCTAACAGCTGCTTCGTGTCGATGTAGGCCACTTCGATTGTGGAACGTTCCACATTCTCTCGAATAAAGTGCTGACGGATATTCACGTGCTTGGTCCTCGCGTGATGTCCAGCGTTGCTTGCAAGTGCAATAGCACCTTGAAATGATTCTGCCTTGACAGCTTGTGCTCCGTATGCCCTCGTTCCAGGTTTGTTTACGATACCATGATGGCGAGTGGACTTCAAATACTGCAGAACATGAATCGCTGTCTTCCAGTGTTGTGCTCCAGGATTCTCTAGAAAGGGTGACAACTGCGTGACAACGTAGGCAATGTCCGGCCGAGTGCAGGTTGTGATGTACATGAGGCGCCCGATTAAGGAACGATACGGTCGTGACCTCATTTCGGCATGTTCCTTTCCGTATTTGGCGACATCGTCTTGGACAATTTCAGGTTTATTGCACAAGGGTTCTCCACCATCTTGGCGTTCCGTTGATTGAATCGTTCCACATTGTCGTCAATGTACCGAGTTTGCTTAATCATCAATGCTCCGCTTTCTACTCGTGGTCACTCTCCATTCCCAGAACGAATTTGGCCTCGTCAAGCTCCTTCATCTTAACTGCGCTTTTCAGGGCGTCCTTGACGTCGCGAATTGCGTCGCGCGTCTTAGCCGCAATGATCATGTCGTCCACATATAGACATACGTATACGAATGCGTTTTTGGAACGCTTGACGTAGACACACTGGTCGGCTCCACAACTCTTGAAATTGTTCTGCAGCAGGCGCCCACGATTAATAGTCGTGTTCCATGCACTTGCAGCTTGCTTCAAGCCGTATATAGCCTTTAGCAGCTTGCACTTCATGCCTTCAGCACGTTCCATTTGGTTCTCGAGACCAAATGGAGCGTCCATATAAACCCAATCCTTCAAACCACTGTTGAGGAACGCTGTGTCGGCATCCAGTTGCTCCATAATGTAGCCGCACGTAAACCAAACAGCGAGTTCAACTCGAATCGAGATCATATTCGCAACTGGAGAGTACGTCTCAAAGAGGTCTATTTTAAACTTCTGCTTGAACCCCTGCGCTACTAGGCGTGGCTTGTAACGGATAACCCGGCCATTCTCGTCACGCTTCTTCGTGAACACCCAGCGACATCCAATGGAACGAGTTGTCGTTCCACGTGGAACGAGCGTCCATGTTTCGTTCCGGGTATGCGAATCCAGCTCTGACTGCATAGCTCGACGCTACTCTCCTGCTTCGTCACTGGTAATAGCTTCTGCGTATGTGTTAGGTGTATCTGGAACGCAACCAATGCTGGCCGCGTACGCCAACACTGCCTCTGCGAGCAAATCATCTTCGTCGATTCTGGCACGCTTAGGAGATGGCGGTCCATCACTTCCACGTTCCACATCTTCATCGTCACCGTTCCCAAGTAGAAATAACGGTTCACGAGGGCGCGTAGATCGTTCCGTTTCAGGATGGAAGATTATCCGGTCCTCATGGAACGATGAAGGCTGCGAATGGAACGTTGCCAAATCCAACCCATTTAACCTGGGTTCCTTCGGCGCGGGTAGCTGCTGTATTTCTGCGTTCCATTCCGGTTCAAGGTCGTCCATCTCAATGTCTTGGGCAGGTTCCTCTGCTTCTTCCATCGGTTCATCCTGAGCATGCTGACGTTCCACTCCAGATATTGGAACGATCGTATCATCGCTCCTCGTCACATGGATGACCGTTCCGGAAGCTGGCGACTCCGTGCCATAGATTCCGATTACCTCACGCTCGTTCAGCTTGACCGACCGTGTCACCTTGAACTGCGACGCATCCATGTCGTACACACGATATCCTTTTACGTTTTCACCGTACCCGAGGAACGTGCACTTGAAGCTCTTGGGCTCCAGCTTCGTTCTCATCATGTCGTCCTTATGAGCGTACCCTTGTCACCCAAATATCCGTAGGTGTTCCATCCGTGGCTATGCCTGGAACGCCAACTCGTACGGCGTGACATCCGAGTTTGATGTGCTCGTGGAACGGTTGATGAGATACACTGCAGTACTAGCAGCTTCCGCCCACCACTGCGTCGGCATAGACTTGTAGTGCAGCATGCTTCTTGCCTTCCCCATGATGGTACGGTCATGCGTTCCGCCACTCCGTTCTGCTGAGGTCTGTATGGAACGCTACGCTGATACACGATACCGTTCCGTTTGCATAGCTCCAAACTGTCTTGTTCACGAACTCTGTTCCATTATCGGAACGTAGACATTTAAGACGTTCCCCCCCCCACGGGTTTCGTACAATGCCTTGAACTTCTCCAGTCTACTGTCCACCTCGCTCTTGCCCTTCATAAAGTACGCAGCGATAAACCTTAAGTAGTCGTCATCCACCGCACAAAGTCTCGTTTCCCATTTTACACATGTGGGATACCAATTGTGGAACGTTGAGGCTTCGTCAGCGCGTCCTTGATGGGGTGACCCATGCGAGTGTGCCAAAGCTCCCACTCGCTGTCAGGACCGGCGTATTGCACGAAGTGTGCCTCCTCCTGCTAACAGTCCAAAAGGAACGCCTTACCGACCTTCTTCCCTGACGCTATTGCAGCGTTCCGCCCCCAAATTACACAACTGGAACGCTGGTACACCACGCTCATTCCTCGTTCCGCGAGCTTCCCGACCGACAATAACCGTCTATCGAGCCCGGTGGAGCACGTCCACCATTCGGATGCGTTTATCGTCTAAGCCAGTCAACTTGACCGTTTCAGTGCCCGCTACGAGCAGCTTCTTACCATCTGCAATCGTCACGTTGATACCAGTGTCTATCGCCTCGTACCCAAATAGGGCGTACCGGTGAGGGGTCATGTGCGACGTCGCACCACTATCAATCAGTCACCCGGCCGAGCGTTCCCCACCAACTACGAGCACTGCATCGTCTTGACTGCTCTTCTTCGCAGCAGGACAGTCCCGCTTCATGTGACCCACTTGGTCACGGCTGAAACACTTGCCCTTGAAAACAACGTTCCGTTTCGGACCGTTCTATTTTCGACCGTTCCCTCGGCCGTTCCAGAACTTGCCTGCGCTCCCATTCACTTGGAACGCCTTCTCTGTGGTTTCCTGCTTCTCGAGTCGCTCGTACTCCTTCAACAGCTTTTCCTTGGCCTCGATGAGCATCACATCCTTAGCGTTCTCCACGATAGACGAAGTGGGCTCGTACTCAACGGGGAGGCTGCTCAGCAGCACCACCAGCTGGCGTGCCTCGTCCATGGACTTTCCCAGCGTCTGCAACCCGACGACCAGCTGGTCAAACGCATCCATATGCTTGGCCATAGTTGATCCACTCTCCATCTTGAACTCGCGGAGGCGACGCGTCATCGTCATGCGGTTGTGGAGCGTGGTGCGGTTGTAGAACTCTCGCAGCGTGCCCCAAGCTTCTATGGAACGAGTGGTCGACCAAATCTTGGTCTGATGCTGGCGTTCCACTCCCTGAGCGATGATGCCGAGCGCTTTGGCATCATTGACGAGCCACGCCTCGGTGATCTCGTTCTCCGGCTTGACGGCTTGAATATGCGCAAGCAGGCCCTTCCTGGCTAGCGTCATGCGCATATTGTACTCCCAGTGAAAATAGTTCCCAATCCCGAGGAGGACTTCGGCGCGCTTGGTCGTCGTCATGTTTTGAAACGTTCCGGTAGAGTTGATTGCGGCTGTTAACCTGTTGTTGTTGTTAAAGGCAAATGCCGAAGTGAGTAGATTAAAGTAAATGAAATCTGTCCTCTAAACTTCTACTCTAGCGTTGTCCTCCTTGCTATC